TTTGCAGTACCAGACAAGAAGGCTAAAACTGTAGCTGACTTGATAATAAGTGAAATCTTCCTTAGGTATGGCGCCCCTGTGCAACTTGTCACTGATAATGGGACAGAGAATATAAACAGCATAATGAGAGAAGTGCTGACAGGTTTGAATATAGAGCACATAAAAACATCTCCATATCACCCTCATGGAAATGCTAAAGTGGAAAGGTTTCATAGAACCTTGGGAGATGTGTTAGCTAAACTGGCTAGAGAAAATACAGGAAATTGGGATCTGTACTTGACACAGTCACTGGCGGCCATGAGGTTTATGGAATTAATGAAACCTCCAGATTTTCACCCATTTTTTATGTTATTTGGCAGAGATGTGGTCCTGCCTGTGGATAATTTGTTGAAGAGAAGAAAGGGAAGGGGAAGATCATCATCAGCTGTTTCTTAGAACAACAGCATAAAATATTTTAGTTGTTTCGGTATTCAGTGAGCCAGAATTGAAGAAAAGAAAGGGTTAAGAAGAAATGAAAGGGATGAATGCTGAAAGTAGATCGACTTAGCCATCTGGACAAAGAATTGATGGATCTGGAACCTTGGAGACACTGTCTACTACCAGAGAGGAAGGAAGGGTTACTGAATGGAAATTATGGAATAAGAAGAATTGAACCAAAACACAGATGGTTAAGAACAGAATCTTGTGGCCCAGGAATGACCAAAATGAAGGAATTGATGATGATGGTAATACACTGGGATGATGTGGCAGGACGGAAAGGAGGCACAGCCGAAATATCATTTTTAAAAAGACGAGTGAAGTAATAATAACCAGGTCAAAATGGTTGATCACATTCGTGATAGATTTAAATCCATATGAGTCGCTGTTAAATAAACTAAGAAATGAGCTAAGGCAGCTGGGTGCAGCCTGGTTGAAGGTAGGGCAAGATTATTCCAAGGAGAAAGGATATCTCAGATTATTATATTCCCTAGAATTGGAGGCCACTATGATAGAGGCTCAATGGAGGGACATGAAAAATTACCTGAAGGAAATAGAGCTACTGCAGACGAGAGAAAAGAGATCAGTAGTTTCGATTGTGGGAAAAGCGTTAAATGTCCTTTTTGGAACAGTGACTGAAGATGATGTTAAAGTCATAAGAAGGAAACTGGGAGAAGTGGAAATAAACCAGAGAACGTGGCAAAGGATAGTGTGTCAATATTAAATAACAAGGTTAGAAATAGCCAAGAATAGAGCCAGAATTAATTGGTTAATAAATAAACTAGCATATTGAGACAAGAGGTAATTAATGATACAGAAACTGTAATGATGGAATTACAGGAAATAAGTGGATTTATTTGGATATTTCCAACTAATGACAATTATGAATAAGGTGCGACAAACTAGTCAGTCGTTGACAACCTTGCTGGAACATGTTGTTATTGGGAACCTGTTCCCGAGCATAGTAACCCCGGGTCACTTAAGGGAAGTGCTACTCGGAATACAAACCAAATTACCCCATCATTTAAGGTTGCCAGTGGATCCCACCAAAGAATTGTGGAAATATTATAGTGTGCTGGGATGTGTGACCTTGTTGGAAAATAGAAAACTATTAGTTTTGATGTCTATTCCGTTGTTGGATAGAGAGAGTATATTCGAGATATACCAAGTTATAAATTTACCTATTCCTTACCCCAGAGGAGATCAAGGTTTGGGAATGGTGGCAAGATACAAGGTGGAAACAGAATACATAGCTTTAAATTCTGGTAGAACAAAGTTCATGTTGCTAACAGCAGAAGAAATGATGCTCTGGGAACTTGTACATCATTGAGCCCCATCTATGTAGCTGGTAATCACAAAATGTGCATGCTTGAATTGTTTGAAAGGAGAAAAAGGAATTAAGAGAAATTGTCAAGTGGAGGTATTAGCAAACACGACATTACCACAAGCTATCAGTGTTTCGGACGGTGTGGGCAGTGGCCACACAGAAACCAATCAGCTTGTCTAAGGTATATCGAGGAGAGTCCACAAGGACACTAAAAGTGAAACCACCATTATCCCTGTTAAAATTGCTTCTGGGATGTTCAGCATTTGGGATATCCATTTCTTTATATTACCAGGTAGAAGAAAAATATGAAGAGAGAGATTCAATTATAGAATTGATTGGCAGAAGCTTAGTCAATTGTACAGAGCTGTGGGAGCCAATAGTAAATGGATTCCCCAATGTTACCTTGAATAAAATGCCAGCGCTAATGAAGCTGATAGGAAAGATCGATATGGATCAGTTAAGGGACAAGTGTGTTGGGAAAGGAAGGTATGGCTTGGGAGGATGATGAACAGATTGCGATAAATTGGTCAGCAATGATGGGTACATTAATAATTATCGCCATAGGGGGAATGGCAGTATGGAAATTTAGAAGTAGGAGGGAATTAATTCGTGGTAATCAAATGAGCATGCAGCAACTCGAGAGGGAGATGCCGAGCAGTGTTCTTTACCCAGACAGAATCAAGGAGGAAATTGCAGGAAAGCCGACAGAAGAAGCTAAAGTGGAACTGAGGCAGCAGAGAGAAAAACATTGACAGAAAAACCTCCTGTAGCAGAGAAAAACATTAACCACACTTTAAATAATGGAAAAAAAAAGCCACACACATACACCATTGCATGCAGAACAAGCACATGCACACTTTAAATTGCATGAAAAAGAAAATGAAAGGAACATTACATTGCATGTAGAACAGAAGAAGAAGAAAGTCTGATCATGAAACACCAGGAAAAGGAAAATAGAATTGCATGAAACAGATGCATGATGCATGTTAAATAGTGTACTGGGATTTAGGTGTCATTTAGGAGTGAATGACAAGGTAGGTAAGGGAGGATTGTGACACTATTTAGCTATAGTAATTTGCTAACTAATTAACCATAGAAATTAAAACAAGAAATACTTAAGGCAAAAAAGGGCTATCCTGAAAGATAGACTGATTGATGTTAAAAAAAGATTTTATTTTATTTACGAAAAAGATACTTTTCACAAAAGACAGTAAACCCATGGAAAAAGGTTTTGTCAGGTTGATTAATGTCTTGCCGAGGGAGATAGGAAGAAAGGCAAATAAAGATATTGGAAGACCATGGCAGTCGGTCTGACTTGAGACGATTGCTGATACAGGAGATGGGAGAATCACAGGTTAATTATTTTTCCAAGATATCATTTATTATTTTTTTTTTTGGTGCTGGAGAGGAAAGGCAATATGGTGATTATAAAATTTTGGCATTTGTTTCAACATAGTTGAGAGGAGTATTATTATTTACTTTTAAGGTGTCTTTCAGATGCCGAGACGTTGAGTAGCAATATGGTGATTGTAAAATTTTGGGCATGAGAAAAAATAGAGTAGAAGAATTGAGATTTGGCAAGATAAAGAATTTAATTTCTCAACAAACCAAGGGTTCCATTATAAAGCTAACTTCACGAAGGGACCAGATGGCAAACTTTGACAGTGATTGATGGAATTGGTAAAGAGTGCTGGCTAATTGGATTCTGGGTGGACCAAAAGATATGATAGAATTTTAAGTGGCAATGTGGAATTCATAAAAATTTTGGCTGATGGGAAAAAGGAGAATTTTGTAAACAAAAATTCTGGGTTATAATTTTAAGGAGGCCAGCTTAGCACACCCGCACGGCCAGGATGCCATTGGTTGAGTGGTAGCAATAGTGATAGGCGGAGGTAAATAGATGAGAAGGATGGAGAAGTTATTAATGCCCACTGAAGGGATTGGTATGAGATATCAATGTGAGAGAGGAAGAGTTTAGGAGGATAGCTCTCCTCTGACCTCCCCTCACGGACAAGGAAGACCCCCTGTCCAAAATGGAAAGTGATTAATTTTTCAAAATGGGAAGTAATCAATTTTCCTTGTCTGACAACAAAGAGATTTCTTGTTGGGAATTTCATTTACCGAGAACCCAGGCCGCGTCTGGCCCCACACCGGGTTTTGGTTGGTACCAATATAAACGAATGTCCTCAGGTTCGTTGAGTTACAGTCTGAGTCGAGACAGTCAGAGAGAGAGTCAAGTCAGTCAGTTTGAGTAGTGGGAACAGAGTGTTGCCTCGCAAAACTGACCGAGAGATTCCACAACCTCTGACTTCACCCATCCTACTAATAGCAAGTTATACTGACGAATGAAGCCAAGCCAGCACCTAAGAACTAAATCAGTTGACTTAAGATACCAAAACTTGCTTGAAACGTAAAAGTGTCACATTTTGTAGAAAATGGGCTGGGAGAAAACACACTCCTGTATATAAACAGAAGGATAAAGTTAATTTGTTATTTCTTAACATACTTGAACCTCTTGGGTTTTTCTTTTATTTATTTTTTTTTCCTTTACGCTTGTGCGATATCACCTTCAGTCTGGACTCAGTTTATACTACGGCCTGACGCCTGATTGATCTTGTCTACCTAAAATCAAAGTCACAACATGGGTAGGTTAGACTTGAGATTGAAGCAGTTACTCCAGTAACCAGAAGTTGCAAGTGAGCTGGGAACGATAAAGCTGGTATTGAATCAGTACAGCTGGTGAAGCCGTTAACATTGACAACCAGAATTCGACCCTGGACAGGCCAGTGTCCCATATTGGTATCCTGACCAGGAGATTTTGCTGAGTAGCGATGACTACCAATCAACCGGGACACAGGCTAGTGGCGGCGACAAAGAGTCAACTCGAAAACGCTGGTAGAAGAAACATTACAGTTTCGCGCCACAACTGGGAGTTGACCACGGGCCAATGGCTGGGTGTCACATTATCAATATTTCTGTTTCTAACTCTTCCACATCCAGTAACTGCTTGAGTGGCTTACCACCTTGCATGGGGTGAACTCAATAAAAAGAATGTTTGTTTCAATGATTTATATCTGAATACATTCTGATGCACATATACAGATCATTATGACAAACAAAATTGATTGCATTTTACTATTTTCTTTTTTTTCTACATAATATTTTTATGATTGATTAGTCTCTACTTTATTTTCAGGCCAAAGAAATGTATGATGGAAGCAGTAAGGTAAAAATTTTGGAACCTGATGATGTTGCTCGGGCTTGTGTTTATGCATTGTCCCAACCTGCCTATGTGGCTATAAATGAGATTCTGATTGAACCTAGAGAAGCTCCAATTTAAATTTAAATTTCCTATGGAGAATCAATGGTATTTACTTACAAAAATAATTAAATTTTTATCAAAATTTTCCAAAATGGAATTTAAGGTTTCCAAATCTATTTAACTTTTTTTTTTTAAATAAAAGTACTTTTTGTTATGTTCTTCTCATCAAGATTATAAGTTTGTTAAGCAGTACAAATATGAAATGCTTTTAAGTTATTACATATATTATATAGAGCAGTAACCTCATTTTTGTTTTTATGAATACAATGTTTAAACTGATGAGATGAGGATATAAGTATAATAATTATTGAGTAATGATGTTTCATCCTTTAATTAAACATAGGCTGCAATCTAATAACTAACTTATAGAAGTTACAATAAATTGCTTAATTTAATACCACCTCATGGTGGTATTAAATTAAGCAATTTATTGTAACTTCTATAATTATTTCTTTTTTAATTGGCATTGATAATTTTATAAATATAGAGATCAATAAAGACAAGTCACTAACCTGCAATTAAAGCAACTCTTTAAATAATCAATAATGTATGAAATTAAAAAAAAGATTTAGAATTTAACAAATATAATCTTAATATTATTGCCAGAAGTTTGTTTATCTTTCCCATGTAAACTTCCAATTTTAATGCTTAATGCTTTTAACACATAAATCTTATTAGATTTGCTCTGATAACTTTTTGGAAGATTATATTCTCTTTTGGATGTGTTCTTAACTAGTTTAAAGTCATTAACTAAAGTATTTAAAATAAGGTTATTTACATGTGGAAACCTTTGAATATGGTTAATTAAGATCTGATGCTTTTACAAAAAATTGTTAGTATATTTTTTATCTATGAAAAGAAACTGTTTTTTTAAAGGAAGTGACACAGGAAAGAGCACACTGTAAAATTTACTCATATGACTGAACTGGTAATTGGTTTAATATGAATAAAATCTGATTGGAATAACAGGAATATTCAAGATAAAAAAATATTCACAGTAATCACAAATATTCTTTGGGATCCACATTTTTTAAAATTCATTACTTTGAAATAATTCCTCAATAGTTTTGTAAAATATTCAGTATTCAACACATTCAGAAGAAACACAAGTTGTAAAACTGATAAAAAAGTAACAACCACAGTTTTTGATGACTGATTATTTTGTTTTGAATAAAAATATAAAATTTTTCAATTTTAAATGAATTTATTTTATTCAGCAAATATTTATGAAAATGATATCTCAGTACTTTATTAGAATGAATTTCTTAGCATTGTTAATTGCTGGACTGAATATAGTAGTTATCCAAAACTATCCTTGAAGAATTTTTATGAAAGAATAAAAAATTATAACTCAGCATTGTATTCTGTTATATTTTTGTATGTTCTATTAATGTTCTCTGCTCTCTTTTGATATGTGAGTTCTCTTTGAAGGTTTGAAAATAGTCTGGCATAAAAGTAACAACTATGTTAAGAACATTCCTATTAAAGAAAAAGTTATAATGCATATATAGTTGCAAAGGAAAGAACAAGCAAGGATTGTGTATTGATCAATTTTCAGAATATATACAAAGTTCTGTGAAAAGGTGGCAGAATTGTTGATATGTGATTCTTTAGTTGCCATAAGTAAGGGAAGTGGTTAGGTGTAAGGGTGTTGTTGGTTAGACTGGGGAATAACAGATTTGTTGGGTTGGTTGATTGAGCTCATAGTTGGTACCAGGAGAGAGGCCTGGAATGGATTAGTAAATGGATGGGATGGGGTGTCAGTGTAGTTGATCCATCTGTCTTCAGAGTTGAAATTGACACAGGTGAGGTGTGTGGATAGGCTGGTGGTTGGGCAAGGAGGTTGAGCTAAACTCTCTGTTGTTGGCAAAGTGTGCTATTTTTTAACAGGTGCTGACTACCAGGCTCATCATTTTTTTTTTTGTGGCAAAGTTTGTGATAGGCTATTGCATTTTAGATTTTTGTTGGGCTTTGTCTTGTGGATCGGATGTGATACTTGGAGCCTCTGCATAGAAGATGACATTTTTATTTTGAGTTTTGCTTTCTTAGTGCACACATATCTAGTGAAATGTATTTGTGAAACAGAAAGAGATCTCAATAAAAGTAATATAGCAAATGTCAGAGATCAGAAAATTGAGTTTTGACATTTGGAACGAAATAAACAATTGAAAATTGTAGAGAAATTCTCTGCAGCACTCAGTTGTATGTCTTTTAAAAAGTTAATATTCTGTAAGCATTAAGTTGGCTGCATTTGAAATAAAGAATAAACTTCTGGTGAAATTTTAACTTGTATTCTTTATTGTTGATAGCTTATCCTAATGCACATTTCCAATTAGAATTCAAAAACTGATCAGTAGGAATTATTCAAATTTACCTATAGTCTTTAAATTTCTGTAATGAAACTTTGTTACCTTAACTTTTGACTTGTTATTTATTTTATCTTATTCTTTTTGCTAAATTGAATGACACTTTCTGCTTAGTTCTTGTAGCCTAATTAATAAGGTGCTGTCACAGTTAGACAGCTTCTCAATGATAAAGTATGGATATTTATGTCATCTCACCACTGAGACATGATGTGACACAATGTTGGGTTTATTGTGGGGGAACCTGAGCATGTACACCTGGTCCAAGGATAAAAATTCCCCAAGCCCCTGCAATTGTCAGTTGTACTGGCGTTGTTGATGAGCACTAATCCCTCTCTTTAGTGCAATGAGAGGATGCAGTCTCAGGCAGCTGTTTCCCAGCACTGGACACCTCACAGTATTATTTTCCTCATTTGTGCCTCTGTCCTCTGATGGAGCCACAACTGAGTCACACTCTGCCCAAGGACAGAGATGCAACTAAGAGATGATAAACTCTACCCAGCATGTTCCAGGTAAGGACAAAGTATGTGTTCCAATCTTGCCAGAAGCTTCTTTATTTCTGATCTGTGATGCTTAATTTATGGTCATGGAATAACAACTGGGGAGATGTGATAAAAAATAAGGTTAAAGAATAATTAGTAAAATATTCATAAGGTTATTTGTTATTTTTAGAATTTTGTAATGTGGTCTTCATATGATTTATCTTTCAATTTTCTTTTTGTCCTTATAATTTTTTAAAGTTATCATCTAATCTCAAGTCTTATCTCGTACCTTACACAGTAGCAGAAAGTGTTTAAATTTATTATTTTCAAACAGCTTTTCTTCCTCTAGTATAAGTTATTCCTCAGTGTAAAGTGAAAAGAGAATCATTTTATTGGTCAGCATAGTATCTTTAAAAACATCTAAGTGGATTCTTAATGTGTTTTTGCTACAGGTTCTTTGAAATTTTAAAGAAAAAGCTTTTTGCAGATAACATATCACTAGTAGCAGAAAATGATTAGGTATGTGTATTTGAATCTCTTATTAAACCATTGGTTCAATCATTTTACTGATCAATAAAGTGTATTTGGTCTCTGGTATTTGTTAACTTATGAAAAAAGGTTAAAAACTGAAATGAATATTTTGTTTCCAAAAATGTTTACTTGTTACAATTTCAACCAGAAAAGACAATTATAGTTGAATTGATTATTTATATAGTGTTAGAATGTCTGACACTCAACTTCTCGAGAACTCCTCTTTGCGACTACTTGGCCTCACATTGACTGCTGACCTGAGATGGAACAAATAAATTGAGTCAATAGCTTCGTCCACTGCAAGGAAAGTTGGCTCCCTGTGCCACACCAGGAAATTTTTTTCACTGGAGTCAATCCTTCAAATGTACATATCAACCATTCGCCCCTGCATGGAGTATTGCTGCCATATATAGTCTGGTGCCCCTTATGTTTGTCTCAAGGTTCTTGATAAGATGCAGAGACGGATATGCAACATAATTGAGCCTGATCTGGCATCTCGTCTGCAGTCACTCTCTCACAGACATACCATCACCTCCCTCTGTCTTTTTTACAAATACTTTCATGGTAACTGCTCCGAGGAGCTGCTTTCGCTGGTTCCCAGATTTCATGAATTTAAGCGTTCTACTAGGTTGGCATCTCGCTCACACCCTTTCACTGTTAAAACTGTTAAATGAAACCACCTCTTCTACTCCAATAGCTTCATGTCTCACACCTCTCACTTGTGGAACTCCCTCCCCCTTTCCTGTTTCCCTGATAGCCATAATCTCCAACTATTTAAATGTAATGTCAATTGACGTCTCCAGAAGCCTTTATCTATCCCCTATCCTTCTCTTCATCCTTTCTTCTATCACTCCTATTTGCTCTAGCTTCAACTCTCTGTAACCCCTTGCATGCTAGTGGCTTCCTGCCTTGCTTGGGGTGAAATGCTTTAAAAAAAAAAAAAGCATCCATTGATATATTGATCATAAAACTTTTGTTTTATATCTTTTCAAACTTCAAGTGAGCATTTATTTTGACTGACATGTTCCAGCATACCTCTTGATTATTAGATTGTAGAGGTTTGATTAATATTTATTGAGACTAGAAATTCTACACGCACAAAATGAATGCAGAGAAAAATTGTAGAAAGTTTAATGGAATAATAATGGAATTGCATAATGATTGCATAAGCTCCTTCAGATAAAGCAAATAAATTCTTTCCATTTAAAGATCCACTGCAGCCTTAGCAAAAAATAAATATTTATCTTACATTCAGCATTTTGAATTTTAAAGAAGAGCATCAAATTCATTAAAAATATTTAAATTTTACACAGCTGATTGCTATAAAAACAGTTTTCAACAGATTGTTAAGAATTATTTTTTTATAGATTAAATGATAAATGATTATAATGCAGTTTATTGTATAAAACATTTTAATGAAATAATAGGTGTAATTGTTGAATTGTTGAATTTACAAATGTAGGAAAAAGCAAAGAAAGGATAATGTATAAATAAAATATTTTACAAATATACAATCTTAAATGATTTACATGTGATTGAAACTGGGACATGATTCTGATTACCTCTATATACACACAGCAAAATGTCTATTATAGAAAGAAGATCCTGTGAGAAAGTATGACATCCACCCCATTGATCTGTTTGATTTTCAATCCCTGTGCCTGACCGTTGAATGGATCACTTTGATTCCAGCCTTGCCTTGCCCCACATTGTGTTTGATTTAGATCACAAGGATGTCAAGAATCAAATCGTTGACAGGAATAATTGAATTGGTTTTGGTCCAGACAGAGTGAAGTCACAAGGAAAAAAAAATTGTATAAAAGAAAATGTTTTAGATAATGTTTCTTGTCCAGAGCTGGTAGTACAATTATCAGTTCTTCAGGCAGGAATATATATTCTTCAGGCAGAGTTATCGACCCTTCTCTTTTCGAATATTTTGTGACACTTTCTTCACTGTAACTGTATACAAGGTTTCTGGAACAACTTAAGTCAGAGGTTTCTTCAGGCAGGAAGTCAGGTGAAGCAGTCGTCTCTCATCTGGCATCTGGAACAACTCTTGAATTGGTCATTTTGACTTTCTGTTTATACAGACCTCTGTCCAAAATTGGTATAGGGACTGATGTGGTTTGGGATTTCGGTGATTCCCCAACTCTCCACAGGGATTACATTGTTTTTTTGATTCTGGAAAATTAATTGCATGCCCAATCTTGGAGAGGTCCTTCCTATGAAGAGTAGTGGCAGCAGAATATCTATCCACCCTAACTCCCTCCTTCTTGTATTAGTACCCCATGCCAATACTTCCCAAGTGGCACAGACAATTCCTCCGCCTCCCTTGGTATTCTATCTAGGCCCTTCACTTTGGTTGTCACCCTGACCAATCTGATTTCTGGACGGCATGGGTGAACAGGCATGACTTAGTTCAATTCATTAATTTTAATTATCATTCAAAATTTCCATCAGTGGGATTCCTTGACCCAAACACCATTCTCTCAGTTGGACATTCACCAAGTGTTTCTTTTGTTTTAAAAATAAAACTATTTTCATTCTTCCAGCTTCTTGTTAGACACCTTTATTTTTTAATTATAAATGTTTATGTAACTGTTTTGATAATAAGATAACAAGGCCACTCAATATTTATTTGTCAACTTTCTGACATTTATATTAAATACATCTCTTTATGGAGATATTTTTACTTGTGTATTAATTTTTTGTTTACACTTTCACTCTGATAGTTGATCATTGTTTTTCCTATTTTATTTTGTAATAATTACTTTTTTGATCATTTCACCCCAAGTAAGGCAATAAAGTCATTGAGATGCAATGGGTTACTGAGTGTTAGAGGATATGAGGAAAAAATACTATAAAGGAGAAACAATAACAAAAGAACAAGAATTAAGAAAACAGAAGATAACGATTGACATTACATTTAAATTTTTGAAGATCAAAGTTAACTAAGAAGCAAGAGGCCAGAGTTCCACAAGAAATGCCAGAGAAGAAACTGTTAGCATAGAATTTAGGTTTACATCTAACAATTTCAACTGTGAAATGATGAAACTTTGCTGCCAATCTAGTACTGTGTTTAAATTCATAAAATCTAGGTATCATAGAGAAAAATTCAGAGCAATTGCCATGAAAATATTTATAGAAAAGGCACAGTGAAGCTACATTACAGCTGTGGAAAAGTGACTGAAGTTGAGATGCCAGGTCAGGACCAATAACATTAGAGATTCTTCTTTGGATTTTATCAGGAATCTATAAATGGAGCATCAGACCAGAAGTGACAGCAATATTCAAGGATTACTAGTAGACTTATAAATATGTAAGATAAATTCTGGTGAGAAAAATTGTCCAGCTTGGCACAGGGAACCAACTGTCCTAGCAGCAGACCTAATAGTTTTTTCTGCTTACTCACCTTCTGTAACAGTGGTTTCATGGTGGCTATGCATCCCCTGCGTCCTGCTAATCTAAGTTGATTTTTCACAATTGAGAGGAATTAAGTTCAGCTGTCAACTTTGGAGCAGTTTTCCTTCAATTTTATTTGCTCTCAATAATCAAGTGTTTATTTTCGGCAGCAGTTGTCACTTTTGGTGCTCCAGCGCTTTCTTCATCAATATTTGTGCCAGTTTCTAACTGCCTTTGTAATGAATATTGCACCCCATGTCTAGAAATCTTCAACTGTTTGGCAATTTGTTTTTAAGAGTAGCCTTCTTTGAATAAAATTTCAATTTGTGTCAATGCTTAGCTGCTTTGAATTTGAAAATTTAGTTAATCTCAAAAAATCTGCTGAGGCATTAATGGTGAGATATTCACTAACTGCCACACGCGGTCGGATGTGGCACAAGGCCGAATTTATTGTGGGGTAGGCTCGGGCAAAATTTCCCTGTAGACCCCGTAAAAACGGGGTCAAACAGCTGTCTACCACCCCAGATGAGACTCTGCCCTTTGGCATAGCCTCGTCTGGGTTCCTTTCTACACAGAGGCAGAGAGTTCGACAAGCACACCGTGGAAGTGAGGCATTTATGGTGAAAACAAAATATAATACTTTTCATACTATAACCCCTTTTGCAACCACCTCCACCCGATGGTGTAACCATGTTTAGTGGTCCTGTCCTCAATGTCTTAGGATGACGTTTTAACTACAGGGCTGTTCAATGCTAGTCCAAGCTGGTTGTTGGGCGCTGGCCACTTCGATCTACGTTGTGTTCTTGATCTTAGAGCAGAGTGGAAGATTGAATGTTGTAGCATTCGCAGCGTTGGTTCAAGCCATGGCAGATGCTATAAGAAGAAAAATATCTTCACGACGAAAAAATAAAACCAAAGATTCATGGGGTTAATCTTCGATTGGTTTATATAGCTCTTGGTACAACAAAAATTAACTCTTCCTGAATGAATCTCTATATAGTGACACTGTGCCTCGTCTAATAATTTGATTTCAAAGTTCTTCGAAATCAAGAAATCTGGTGGCAGCTAGCGTGGATTCCAGAGGCACTCGATACGGGGGTTATCAGTCCAAGTCTCCGAGCTCCCAATGTAATCTGCTTGTATGCACTTCGGCCAAAAACTGGCGTGGGGCTGAAGGATTCTGGGGATTCGGTGATTCTCAATTTTCTCATTAATCCCACAAGGGTTTTTTGTTCCCTATTTCTGCTTTTTTGATCAATTTTTCAAATTTGGAGAATTATTCAATCTCCTTGGGAGTAGTCAGAGGGATTGCTCCTCTATTAACACTCATCTGCTTCACTTCACTTGGCACTACTCCACACAGGTGGCGCTAAATTATGGTTCTTCCTCCTTCCTTCTCGGTATTCTAACTCTGCCCACCTCTAAGGGTTGGCTTAAC